CAAGGAAAAATACTACAAGTGGCCAGAAAGAAACAATTCAAGTATTAGGGAGTCACAATCAGTATCACACAGGACTTGGCAACTGCAACATTAAAGGATTAGACATCATGGAACACGTAGGGCAAAGGAGCTAGGACTACAACGAAGAATCACTTACCTGGCAAAAATTAAGTATATTACATCACACAAAAAATAGTCATTCAACAAAACAGAAGGATTTCAAGCTTTCGTAAGGAGAAGACCAGAACTAAACTAAAAATTTGACATCCATTATCAAGACCCAAGAGAAGCATAAATAGGTAAAAAGGGAAAAGAAAATATAAGGTATTCAATAAAGCTAAACTGTTTACATCTTTGCATGGGAAGATGATACTTATAATTTGTATCACTGACAGTACAGATAGAAGGAATATACACAGACAGAGGGTGTGGGTATAAGGTGAATTTGAGGGAATGACATTAAAAAAATTAAAGGATGAGACAGAAGAGTACAATGGATGCAGAAGCAAGGGAGAGGTAGAATAGGGTAAATTATGTCACATGAAGAGGCAAGAAGGAATTATTACAGTGGAGAGAAAGATGGGGGGGCAATGGGTATTGTTTAAACCTTACTCTTATCAGTATTGACTCAAAGAGGGAATGATATACAGAATCAGTTGAATATAGAAATCTGTCTTACCAGACTGGGAAGTAAGAGGGGAGGAGATTAAGTAAAGAGGGTGAGTAGGGACTGACAGAAGGGATGGCAGATCAAGGGAGGTGATAGAAGAAAAAACTGGTGATGTGGGAAAGGGTGAAAGGAGAGAGAGTACAAACAGGAGGAAGAAAATGATGGAGGGAAATACACAGGTAGTAATCATAACTGTGAATATGACTGGGATGAACTCTCCTATAAAATGGAAGCAGATAGCAGAGTGGATCAAAAACCAGAATCCTGCAATACGTTGCTTACAAGAAACACACTTAAAGCAGAGAGACACACACAGAATAAAGGTAAGGGACTAGAGCAATATGTATTATGCTTGAGCTGAAGTAAAAAATAGTGGGAGTAGTAATCCTGATCTCAGACAAAGTAAAAGCAAAAATAGACTTGCTAAAAGGTACCATAGACAATGAAGCAATCAGATTAGAAGAGCAAGGAATAGTCTACCTGAAAGATCTATGGGGAGCGGAAGAATTCATGACCAAATGAGATAGAGAACATTACAAAGTATAGAATGAATGCTTTTGATCATTTTAAATTGAAAAGCTTTTGTACAAACAAAACCAATACAACCAAGATTAGAAGGAAAGCAGAAAGCTGGGGAACAATCTTTATAGCAAGTGTCTTTGATAAAGTCTTCATTTCTTAAATATATAGAGAACTGAGTCAAATTTATGACAATACAAGTCATTCCATAAATGGTCAAAGGATATGAACAGGCAGTTTTCAAATGAAGAAATCAAAGCTATATATAGGCATATAAAGAAGTGCTCTAAATCATGTTTGATTAGAGAAATGCAAATTAAAACAACTCTGAGGTCCCACCTCACACCTATCAGATTGCCTAATATGACAAAAAAAAAGGAAAATGATAAATGTTGGAGAGAATGTGGGAAAATTGTGACACTAATGCACTGTTGGTGGAGTTGAGAACTGATCCAACCATTCTGGAGAGCAATTTGGAACTATATTCATAGGACTACAAAACTGTGCATACCCTTTGATCCAGCAATACCACTACTAGGTCTGTATCCCAAAAAGATCATAAAAATGAGAAAAGGAGCTACATATTTATAGCAGCCCTATTTATGGTGGCAAAATATTAGAAATTGTGGAGATGCTCATCAATTGGGGAATGGTTGAACAAGCAGTGCTATATGAATGTAATATAATACTACTGTGCAATAAGAAATGATGAACAGGCAGATTTCAGAAAAACCTGGAAAAATTTGTATGAACCGATGCAAAGTAAAATGAGCGGAACCAGGAAAACACAGTAACATCATGTGATGATCAACTATGAATGACTCAGCTCTTTTCAGCAACACAATGATCCAAGACAAATACAAAAGACTCACGAAGGAAAATGCTATCCATTTCCAGATAAAGTACTGATGGACTCTGAATGCAGATCAAAGTATACTTTTTCACTTTATTCTTTTTTTGTGTTTTTTTCTTTTTATCTATTTCTTCTTCCCTAACTTAGATGAATATGGAAATATGTTTTACATGATAGCATCTGTATAAATTATATAAAACTGCCTACCATTTTCAGAAGAGGGGAGGGGAGAAAGGGAGGGAGAAAAATTTGGAATTCAAACTCTTGTAAAAAATGAATGCTAAAAATTTTCTTGATATGTGATTGTGGGGAAAAATGAAATACCATTTAAAGCAAAAAAAAATTTAAAATGTGAGAGTCACATAAAGCTTCACAAAAGACTCCCTGATGGGCTCATATTTTTTTAAAAAAATGACAAAAAGGTGGAAAAAAGAACAAATCATGACATACTAACTATTTTTTGGGACAGTTACTTGACTGATATATCGGACACATAATATTTCTTCATTTCAGCAAGGCAGTTGACAAAGTGTCACATGATATTCTTATGTTTAAGAGATAAATGTGGAGGCAGCTAGGTGGTGCAGTGGATAGAGCAATGGCCCTGGATTTGGGAGGATCTGAGTTCAAATCTGGCCTCAGACACTTGAGGATTCCTAGCTGTGTGACCCTGGGCAAATCACTTAACTCCATTGCCTAGCCCCCCCCCCAAAAAGAGATAAATGTGGTCTAGATCATAATATAATTAGGTGAATAAATAATTGGTTGAAGAACTTTCTAAAAGATTAATTGATGGATTTTAAAATGGAGAGGGGATCTATTATGGCTTGTTAGAGAGTTCTATGCTTGGATCTAACCTAACATTAAAAATGAAATTAAAACCTATCATTAAGATATAATAATAGATGGAAGTTATATAGTGCTTTAAGGTTTACAAAGTGCTTTTCAGATATCTCATTTTATTCTCATAACAACCCTTTAAGATAGATGCTATTATTATCTGCATTTTACAGATGAGGCCAAGGAGACAGATTAAGTGACTTGCCTAAGGACACAGTTAATAAGTGTCTGAGGCAGGATTTGAACTCAGGTTTTCATGACTCCAGGTCCAGCACTCTATCAAATATGCCACCTAATGGCCATGACACAAAGCTGGAGGGAGAGCTATGAGATAGGATAGTAGAATAAAATTGAAAAAAAAAAAAGTCTGAACAGACTGGAAAGATGGAACCAAAACTTACAATATACAATTTTATAGTCCTATGTTTTTTGAAGTCCTATGTTTAAGTTCAAAACAAATCAACTGAATAAGTACAGGATGGAGGTGGGGGAACGTGGCTTGACATCAGTTTATATGAAATGGACGTGAGAGTGAGTGTACCATTAACTTAGTGAAAACTCAGCAGGAGACCCCAAGTAAGGTAGCAGCCCAAAGAGCAAATACAAACCTGGGCTAAATGAATAAAAGCACACAAAAGAACACAACAAAAGAGCTAATAGTCCTGTTGTACTCTTTTCTAGTCAGATCACATCTGGAGCACTAAGCTCAATTCTTGATTCCATATTTTAAAAGTGACACTGACAAAATGAAATGCAGTAGGAAGAGAATGACCAAAATGAAGGATCTGCAACCTATGCCAAATTAGAAATCGATGGTTTAGCCTGGCAAGAAGAAGATGAGGAAGGAACATCAAATGCATTTAAGTGTTCCAAGCCCTAGCCTGTGGAAGGATGACACATTCTGTGTAGAACAAGAAAGAAGTAGAACCACTGGGCGAAAGTTACAGGATATCAGTGTTTAAATCAACATAAAAAAGACCTTCCTTTCTTAAATAAAATTTCATTGATATCTGTTGTTCTTACATTATGACATTTAAAGGTACTACTTAATCAGAAATTATGAGCAACTTAAAAAAATAGATAAATCTTGAATAAAGCCCCTTAGGCAGGCAGAAGGAGGTGAGAAGTTAAAACACATTACCTGCTTCAGCAGATCTGGAATCACAAACACTCTAGCAGCCTTCACTCTGCTCTAGTCACACCCCTTCTTAGGGATCTGAATATTCTAAGGCAGATTGAGTCTTTTGCCAGATGCCCTAATACCCCAGTTTTAGTCCTTATTTAAAATGTGCACCTCAAACTGTCTCTTCCATCACTCACTCCTTTATCAGCTCTGATCCTACCAAGTTATTTTCAATCATCTTTCTCTCCCTCTTTCTCTCAATAATTTCTCTTCTGATGAGAGGTGCAATACATCTTCTTGAGACTATATTTCCCAGAATTCATACAACTAAGTCTCAAAGTCTCTCCTTGCTTGCAGAGATTCTATCTTTAATACCTACCTGCATACCTTCCAACATATATGAACTTCTATGGCTGGTAACATACACCTATATCTATCTACATACGTACACACAGAAAACCCATATATGGATATACATATAAGACATTTATATAATACATTATATTGTATCATATCATATCATATATTATAAACATTTATAATATATTACACAACATATATTATACATAATTGTTCATAGTTGTATTTGTATAAATATTTTGCATGTCTTGTAGTTTGACTTCTGGATATTTTCTTTCTATCTCTTCCTTCTGGTTTTGTTAAAAATATACAGACGTTTTGTGGATCTATTTTATTTCTTCTACTTTAATGAATCTGTAGTCTCAACTTGTTTGCTGACTCTCTGGTGTTTTCTAAGTAAATCATTATATTATCCCCACATAGAGATAAATTGGGCTTTATTTCACCTATAATTATTCCCTTAATTTCTATTTCTCAACTTATTGCTATTTGTAGATTGAGTTTCTTCACAGGGATTTGTCTATGCTAATAAAGTCATAAGTCCAGAACCCTGCCTCCCCCCAAATTCCATAGTTAACATTTCAATATAGCTATTTGTCAGCCAATAGTTTATCTTACTTCAACCCTATTCTGAGAAAAAAATGAAATGCTTCACAAATTTGCACGTCATCTTTGTTTAGGTCCTCCACTAATTTTCTCTAAATCATTTCAGTTTTAGTATATAGCCCCTTATAATTTAGCAATTTATATATTCAATAACAATAGAAAATATAGCTAGATTTATTTTATCAGTGATGAATTAACTTGGAGAGTTAATTAAAAAAAAACCTCATATAATGACCAAGTTGGGGTTTACCTAATTTGTGCTTGTCAGTCTATAGGCTATTTGAAAGATGACATCTCAGAGATGTCATATTAGTCCAAATCAAGGAATGCAGTTTTTAACCTGGAGGGTAAATCACTAATAGAGATGTCAAATCTCCTCTCTACTCTTCCAATTCAGTGAGCTTGACAACAGCAGCTGTTTGGGTGAAAGGGTTCAGAGAAATTCACTTATCTTGATGGCTTCCTTCAAATTATAGTAGGAGAGGGGACTGAAAGAAACAACATACTTTTTTATGAAGATAAAGTTTCATCCTTTGACAATATGGGATGTACTTCTTGAAATAGGAAAAGGAAAAAGGATTTAGTTTTGCTTCTAAGTTGAAATGACAGTGTAGGAGTGATATTGGTGGTATTTTCCATTGCGTCACTTTAGATATTTGGCCGTTGTCTTCAAGTCAACATCCCAAATGGAATTTTGAAGACTTAGAGAAAGCTCTCAAGAAAACTTTCTTAGCTGTGGAATTTAGGTACTGAATGCACTAATGAAACATTTGTTTAGATTTAGGAGCTTTAACTTTTTAGTTGTTTAGCTTTTTATTTTGATGTGGAAAAGAAATGGAGATTCTCAGAATAATTTTTGAGAATTACTTTTAAGATATAGTGTCAAGCTTCTAGACTAAATAACTTATTTTAACCTTTACATGATTGAAAAGGAAAAAAAAAACAATTCTGCCTCCTCCCTGCTTGACATACTCTTTTTGGTCCTAGGCAGCAGCTAGATGGGACAATGGATAGAGTACTGGGCCTGTGGTCAGGAAGACTTATCTTCCTGAGTACAAATCTGGCTTCAGAAATTTTCTAGCTATGTGATCCTGAGCAAGTTACTTAAATCTGTTTGCCTCAGTTTCCTCATCTGTAAAGTGAGCTGGAGAAGGAAACGGCAAACTACTCCAGGATCTTTGCCAAGAAAAGCCAAAATGGGGTAACAACTGAACAGGAGCAACAATAAAGCCACAAAGTCCAGATCTTATTTATTTGCAGAGAGCTTCTATGAGAAAGAGTATGGTATAGTAGAGAAGGCTAGCCCTGGAGTTCAGAAGGCAGGGACCATAGGTCAAATCCTGTCTCTGACACATATTGGCTATTTGGCCTTTCTGGTAAGTGACATACCTTCACAGTTCTCAAACTTCCTCTTTAAGACCAAAAGCTCCAGATGAGTTGATGATCTCCATTAGTGGAAGGACTTTGCATTTTGGAAGTTAACACATGAAATCTTAGGTCTTGACTTAAAAAAAAAAACATTTTATTAATGTAAGAGTTGAACATGGATGATGTTGGAATTTGTTTCGCTTAACTATGGATATTTAATACAAAAGCTGAGTTGAGAGGGAGAGAAAAATCCTTGTTAATTGAAAAATAAAGTAAAATGAATAAGTAAAGAGAGTTCACCAATTTTAGTCATTCATTCCTTCACAACTATTGTGGTATAATGAAAGGACTCCATTGGATTTGGAATAAACTCTGCCACCAATTATCTCAGTGATCTACATCAAGTCACAGGATCGCGCATTTAGATTTGGAAGGATTTAGAAAATGAAGGGATTGATAATTTCTAAAGATTCTTCTTGCCTGAATGTCCTATGACTTTTAAAAGTACTTTTTGAATTTCTGTTATGTGTGAGGGATACAAAGAAGTATACTATTTAGTTCCTGACTTTAAAAGAAGTTATCTTTTAGCTGGGAAGCTAGGACATACCTGAAGGAAAACACAGAAACAAAACAATGGTACAAAAGCAATCCCAAAGCAATTTCTGATTGAATGCAGAATGAATGTAAAACGATTGTGAAGTAGTATTTTAGGAAGGGTATCGACAATTTGGGAGGCTTGCCAAGAAAGGTGTTCGGGGCTTGGAGAACATGCCATGACAGGTCACAAGTTCCTGGTTAAAGCCCAGTGCAAGTGAGTCCAAAGTTCTGAAGTCTGAGGCTTGAGGCCCATGTGGCTTCATGTGGGGCTTGGCTCTATTCCATGCCCACAGACAAAACATTTGGAGTCAAAGCACATTGGCTGTATCAGCCCAAACCTGATACCCACTTATGGTAGGTCAGGAGAATAATAGCCCTGTCTGAAGGACTATAAATCAATACTCTCAGGATTGAGACATGGAAAAGTGTTGAAGTGTACACTCAAATTGTGTTTTCAAAGAAGAACCTAGTACATGATCCATCATTTAAGTAGGAAAGTGAAGAGGCTGATGAGAGTTTTAAAAAAGTAGCTAGGTACATAAAATTAAAGGGTTAAAATTAGATCTCCTGAAGAAAGGATAAAGGAACTGTGATTTAAATCTAGGGTAGAAAAGGATGATTATGTATTTTATGATTGTCTTCTTGTAAGTATCATGGAATAGTGAAAAAGAGCACTGGGTTTGGTATCAGAAAATGACCTGGGTTTGAATAACAGTTTCAACATTAACTAGCTGTGTAACCCTGGGCAAGTCACCCCTTCCTCCAGTCTCTTTGCCTCAGTTTCCTCATCTGTGAAATGGGGAAAATAATGCATGCTTCCTACATTGCTGTTTTGTTGGAAATAAACTGTTTTGTAAGCATTAAATTGTTCTAGGTGTTGCTTGTTAAGTTTATGACAGATTAATAAATAGATTGATGATTGAAACTCCTCACTACATTGTTTCTTCCCCTAGACTGTCTAACTTATTAGTTCTGACTTTCTTCTTCTAAGTGGAATCCCCTGTGATTTTGTACCATTGTCCCATCCAGCTAACAGATACATCCATGGGCCAACAGAATCTTCTGGGTGGACACCTCTTACTTTTTCAATCACTATTCTCTTTCCAGGGTAATGAATCACAGATATGATTGAGTCCCTTTTCCACAGAGGCTATATCCCGAAGGGTAAGTGTTATTACATTATAATTTTTTAAATTCATAAATAAAATTCTTGAAATCATAATGTTCTGTCACCCAATTGGTCAAGGTTATTGCACCTAAATGATGTTGCTTGAAAGTGAGTCAGTGTCCTAGAACATCTTTCAATGCTTTCTTCCCTCCCATGAGTCTATCCATAATTTTAGGGATCCATTAGAGGTTGACTTCATTCATTTGGAAGTCACTTTATTCCTTGCTCAGGCAATGAAAAAAACATTCCATCCTAATTACAGAATATCCCTCTCATGGTGTACAATTTGGAAACTTTCATGCCTTGCCTTTCATTTAATAATGACAGCATGTCAATTACCCTACAGGGTATGGAGGGTCTCATGCATTTCTAAGGGTCTAACGGGAAAAAAACTGGAATGGGAGTCAGAAGACAGAGTTCTCCTCCTAACTGATATATTGCATGACCTTGAACAAATTTCTTCTCCTTTTGCCTAGTTTTTTTTCCCATATATTCCTGAGCTTCCTTGCCCCATTAAAACAAAAACAAAAAAAAAAAAGATCACAAACTAGCAGTGGGAGAAAAGCTGCTTATGTGGATAAAGAACCAAAAATATTTCCTGCTATAAAATGTGAAATGGGGGTAGGTAGGAGGAGACTATTGTTAAACAGGTTTCTCCATATTCAGGAGCCAAGTACTTTTGGAGGCAGCTTCAAGCTGCACATGTTGGTGGGAAAGAAAGCAGATCATTTTAGAGCCTTTTGACATAATATGGGGCCCCATGTTTGGAAAAGAGCTTCATGCTTCCCTCTGAAAAGAGCCTAATGCTTCTGCGAATGACACAATTAAAAAGAAGCTTCCGCAAATGACTTAATCTGGGCCATTGCTGAGAGAAGTTCAGAAAGGAGAATTCATTCAGAAGGCTCATGTGGTAGTGAGTAAGGGGGAGGGTTTTTTTTAAAAGATGAATCTCAGCATTAGAGATGGAGATTGGGTAACCACAGATGGCAGAGAAGCAGACCCAAATCTGGCTCATACAGCCCTCCCCAGAAACACAGGGCAAAAACCTGCAAGTAAAATTTGGCTTTGGGTAAGAAAAAGAAAGACATGTGAGAGTGAGGGTTTCTTCTTTATTGGAGAAAACGAGAAAGGTTCATGAAGTTTGGTTTTGATGACATGGTGTAGTAAAAATATATGAGTTTTAGTGTAGTGTCAAAAGGCCTGGGTTCTAATTTCCCTCTGTATTCAAAGAAAAGTAAACAGAGAGTAAAAGACTGGACTGTGCTGCAGCCAGCTCAACCTGGCTCAGAACCAGTTGTTAAATTTTCAGTGTATTTATAATTTAGAAATTGGCAAACACTGTAAATCAGTGCTTGATTTATTGTCTTGTTGATTTTGAGACTCAAGAAAGTGATTGAGTAAATGTTAATAATGCAGATTAAATTTTAAAAGTATGTTAAGCTCATAATTCTCACAACTCTGGAAAGCTGGTCATTAAACATTTACCAGTATACCCCTGGAGAGGGTACATCCCTCCCTGCCTTTGATGAGTTCCAGTCACTTAGCCCAGATACCTTACATCTCAGGATAGTATGTCACTGCTGAACCACTGCCGACAATCTCTAAAAGATCATGGAAAACTTGAAAGGTAATGTAGGAATGGATGATGGAAAATGTCCTAATATTCAGAAAGGCTATATGCCAGTAAACTTGTTTTATATTCCTAGCAAAATTCAAGAATGACTTTTTAAAAGGATGAGTTAATAAACATCTAAAAAAGAAAGTAGTGATTGTTTAAAAAAAAACATAACTTCATCAAGAACAGGTAATGCTAATTTAAACTTATTTCCTAGGCTAAATGATCTGGGGAATTCTCAAATACTTGAATACTGGTTTTATGTCACCCTCTTTCCACTCCTAGGCCCCCAACAAATCTCTTCTCCAGGCTAATCATCCTCAGTTCCTTCAGTCATTTCTTATATGGCATTGACTCAAGGTCCTTTACCATCCTGGTTGCTTCACTC